GGGAGCGCCTCACCAGTCCTGGAGGCGGTCAGGCACCGTAGGGGTGCGGCACTGAGGGCTGCGGTTCGGTGGCAATGAGCTCATAGCGAACGGCCTTTTTTTTTTTTCCTGCTGGTTTTTGAACGCCTCGCGCAAACCCTCGCTCAGGGCGGGCGGGCCTTGAGGGGAGGAGAACGGGGGAGAGAAGAGCGGGATTACAGGCGGTGTCTCTGCGGGAGGTGAGGACCCAAGCTCCGCCCGCCTCGCAGCGCCGCGAGCCCCGACGCCACGTTAGGCGCTGTGCGGTGGCTCCGCCCGCGCTGAGGCTGAGGGCCGGGCCGCGCACCGTCGCCGCCGCCGCCACAATTTTGTCCGCCCCGCGCCGCCGTCGTTGGGGCCGGCCGGGGTGAGAGGTGACGGCTGCGTCCCCGGAAGCGGCGGCGGCAGAGGGAGGAGGAGGCGGAGGAGGCGGAGGAGGCGGCTGTCCGGGTGTCCGGGCCGCGGCGACGGACGGGAGCGGCCCTCCCCGCCCCGCAGCCCCCCGGCAGGGCAGGGCAGGAGGATGCTGCAGAGCCCGGCCCGCCGCCCCTGAGCCCCGCCGCCGCCTCCGGGCCTCCACCCGCCCGGCCCGGCGGCATCTTCCCCCTTCGGGCGCCGGTAAGGCGGGCTGGGACGGGCCGGGGGTCGGTCGGGCCGTGGGATCGCAGCGGGCCTTCACTACGGGGCACTGTAGATATTTCCGTTTCTGAGTAGCAATTCTTTTGCTATTTTTTCTTTTTTTTTTCTTTTTTTTTTTCCCCTTCCTGTTTCCTTATCGCGTTCTCTGTTTGCTTTAATCTCTATCTGAAGGTTTTATCCTGTTTTAAAAATAACACTTCCCGTGCGGTACGGCCGCTGGGTGTCTGAAGTTCGGATCGAGCAGTGCATCATAAGCACAGAACTGCGCACCATGGGAACGCTTCAGCCTGACAAAGGAACGAGCAGAGCCCAGGGCTCCCTGCCTCCTCTTCCCTTGCGCTTCAAGGCTCTGCCTTCCTCAGGAGATGTCCTGAAATTACTTCTGCCCCCTGTTATCTGTTTTTCTCTGCCCACGTTCCTGTGAGACAACCCCGTGGCTCTGGGTATGAATCCCTAAATGCTGCTTTCTGCATCCTCGTTTGTACTTTAGGGAAGTTTGATAATGCATAGCATGTCCTGAAATGTGAGTGGTGTTTAAGCCTGGTCAGTCATTAAGTCGGTTTTATAACTGTTGGTGTTCTGAGTAAATGGGTGTTGGATGTGCCAGTGCCAGTGCCAGGCTGGGAGCATGGGGTGGCTGTGGGTTCACCCTGTGCCACACACCCACCTGCACAATGGGGGATAGCATTGCCAGCAACCGAGTGGAGATAAGAAAATTCTGAGTCCTGCCCAGAAACTGAGTGCTCTCTGACCCCAGAGCTCACTTCTCCCAAGGAGGATTGAGGCCTCTGCAGCTCTGTTGCTTCCCATGATTTGAGGAGTGGCTCTGCACAGGTGAACGTGATTCTTTTCCACTTGAAAAACAAGAATTGAAACAGCAGTGCAGGATTGGCTCTGTGCCGTCTGAGGTTTGGAGCAGGGCAGCAATTGCATGACCAGGTGTCCTTCAATGTGGGCAGGGGCTGGGACTGCACGGTCTCAGGGCAGAGCTCATACCCAGGGGTGCAGCTCCCTTCCCCAGTGAGCACTGCCTGGCAGCTGAACTTCTTTTAGGCATGATCCTATTTTACTAAATGAGCCCCAAGCGAAGCATTAATGAAAACGTTTGGTTTGTTGCTTTTTCCCAGATCTCCTCATGCCACTATTAGGAGTTTTATTTTTGGAGAATAAAACTGCTTCCCAGGTGTCAGAACTCCCCACTTTTGTGTATGGAAAGCTGTGCCCTGGCTGACAGGCTTTGTTGGTTATCCATGTGTAGAATGACAGCCATATTCAGGCTAGTTTGGGTTAAGCAAATTACAGTTATGCATCTTTGGGTCAGGTGTAGATACAGACACAATATTACTAACCCAGCTTTGACATTTGATATTGCTATCAGCTGTTGCCTACTTGTTTCAGTCCTTTTGGCCATATTTGCATTCTTTTCCCTCGCTGTGGCTGCCGGCTCTGCTTCTGCCCTTCTTAGCAGTCAGCATTACCCTCTGTCCCCATGCTCTGCTTTGCCATTTATTTCCACTAACACCATTTCTGCAGTCATCATTCTTGGGATTCAGGCTGCATACCTGTCTGCTCTCTGTCTCATTACAGTTCTCATTACAAACTGTCTGAAGAAGCTTTTTGGGGTGTTCTTACTGAAGAATTCCATGCCTCATTCCTTAATGTGTAGCCTTAATGAAGTCAACCATTAACCTGTGTACACTGGTTGCTAAACCAGTGTGTATTAAAATGTTATTGAGATTTTAATTGCTTCCTGAGCTGAGCCTTTCTGTGAACTGTGTTTTTTTTGGCTGCCATCAGTACAGTAAAGAAAATTTGCTTTCTAATGGAAATTTATAACAACTGCTTCTACTGAGCAGATCCTATACAAATGAATCATTTGCCTTTTGCTTTCCACTCCCAGGCTGTCATATGTAAGAGCTGGGCTAATGGTTGGGCTAGATGATGTTACTCCTCATTCCAACCTTAATGATTCTGTGGTATATAATTTGTAACATCTAAATTTTAGATGCGAGGACTTTGAAGTTCTATGCTGTTTTATGTTATCCTGCTGTTATGCTGCAGTCTGCATGATCCAGACTATAAGTCATGCCGTAAGTCATCACTTTGGCTTCTAACAGTTGGAAGGTTTTAGAGATGCCCAAGCCAGAACTCTTGCATATGAAAACACACTCTTCCCGTCGCTCTGATCATTGGCAGACGGGGCTGTGTTCTGCACTTTGGCAGCAAAATGGCTGTTTTCAGGCAAAAGTTGGGTTTACTTTTTATTTTACAGCTGTTTGGATGAATAACAGTTTTAGATAAGCGTTCCTTTTTGTTTTTTAACCCTTTGGCCTTTATTCTGTTTTCTGCCTTTGACAGAAGTTATGCACAGGAACTTGGGCTTATGAAATTCAGTATTTATTTGAGCCTTCAGATTGACTCCAATGATCAGATCGCTTCCCTTCTCTGCCTTTGTTTTAAGGGTGGAGCTGAGATGTTTGCTGGTTCTGTAGCTCTTGAGAATGTTGAAATGTTTAATTGCGCTTCAAAACGTGTTTCAAGAGGTGGAAAAATACACTTGGTGCAAGTATGAAGGGTTCGACTCTGTTGAGTCCCAGGGCTCTCACACTTCTCTTAATAATCTGCTTGTGGAATGACTCCATTACCACAGTAACATCAGGAAATAATCTCTTTTTCAGCAGTAAGGCTCTCACGGTCACTCAGCATCGTGAAGCATCTTTGGTCTGTGCTCCTCAGTTGGCCGTTTCCATGGCAGAGTTGTGTGCTTCCTTCTTCCTGGGAAAATGTTCCTTTATCAGGAGAGAGATTTATGGGATGGAATAGGTCTGAGAACAAGCAGAGGTTGCCATGAGCCTGCTGAGCTCAGGGTTATTGTGCTTACAGTGATGGAAGGACACCAGGGCATGTGATCTTTTCTCCTGTCCTTGCTAAGGCTGCCTTGCTGTTAGTCTTTTCCTGGCTGAAGAGCCATGCAGTTGTTTGAGTTGGAATGGTCGTCTGGTGCAACTCCCACAGAAGACCAATGGCGTTTCCTCTGAGGCTGAAGGATGGAAGGAGGGGAGGAGAATCAGCCATTGGGGAAAGCCTTGTGTTCAGGTGGATTCTTCAGTCCCAAGGCAGAGATGTCAGCAGGCTGTGCAGTTTCACCCCACAGTGACTCCGTATGGTTTCTACAAGATGAACTGAAGAACCTCCTTTATTTTATTCTTCCATAGTCATCAGTATGGAAAATGGCGAAGGGTTGGACGTTGGACTTGATGATCTCAGTGGTCCTTTCCAACCTCAATGGTTCTATGAAAAATAAGTCCTCTTATGACATAAGTGGGAAAGCTCTCTATTTTTTGCCAGCTGCATGTTTTCTGGAAATGTTTTGATTGCAAAAAGAAAATATTTATCTCATGACTTTTGGTGTTTTAGGTGCTAGACATTCCATTTTGTTTGAAGAGAAGGAAGCCAAATTAAATCCAAGATAATTTTGGTGCCCGCTGCTGTTTACTCTTCTGAAACGAGAAGTGCTTTGGTGTGAGATCAGCACTGTGTCTTTGTTTGTGTGTCACTCATGGGCAATCACAGCTCAGCTGATTTGTGCTGGAGGGTTTTTCTGGCACAGAGCATCGCTTTGGATCAGGGTGGTTAACCCTGAGGTGACCCATCCCCAGTGCCCAGAGTGGTGCTGATAGTGGTGCATCTCAAAGAACGTCATTGGTCATAAAAATGAACTGCAGAGTGGGGGTGAGGTGCTTTTAAGTGCAGAGAGATGGGCAGACGTGGAACACGCAGAAGGGGAAATATCTTGAAGGAAATGAGTTGATTCAAAGCTGCCTGTGCAAACGATGTTAGGCAACACCATGGCAAGAGACGTGAAGAGGTTATGTCATGTGTTTACTTTCATCACTTTGAAATTCATCTTTTGGTTTTTTCTTTTGGCAGTGGCAGTTTTAGTCCTGTAACACCTGTACTAATACAACATGAGGTTCTGTTGTTGTTGTTGTGAGTCGGGCTCTTTTGATGTGAACTCCCAAAAAGTGGATTTTTACCCTTCTGCCGTGATTTTACTGCATTCACTTTTTGGTCTTTGCGGTAGACATCAAGATTTCCCTTGTTTGTAATTTACTCTTGGAAGAACTCATGGATGTGTATCAGCCATCACCTTTTCTCCATACCCTTTTAAATACAAACCAGGAGCAATTGCTTGTGCTGCTTTCCTGAGGTTGCTGTTTTAACCCCTGAGCTATCCTGGTGGAAAAGTGCTCTAAACTGCAGAACCAGAGGGAGAGCAGCCGGCAGCAGCGCTCCAGGCCTCTCTCTCGATTACTTATTCATTCAGCTAAAAGTGTAATGTGATCTTGTTTGCCTGACCTGCCAGGAGGTAATAGCATTCCGTTTCTTTTCTTAACTATGTGAAAGAGAAATGGAAGTTTCAATGGCATCCTTCAGGTTATTCATTTACACAGGGGAAGCTGTGAGCTCCGAGGAGAGGCGCAGCCGCCCTGCGTTCCTAACCAGCTCAGCAGAAAGGAACAGCATCAGTGTACGGACCATTACCCAAACCCAGAGCTGTGGGAGTGCACAGTTTGGCTTCTCTGCCCTGATCTCTTGCACAAATTCATTGGTAATTAATGCTGTTCAAACATTATTTTCCTAAAAATTGTTTCTTGAGGCAGCAGCGTGGCGATGCTGCTCATAATTCTGCTTTGCACAAGCTGTGTCCAATTGCTGTTTTCGTGGCAGCTTGGGTATTAAAATCCACAGTTGTTCCCTTTTCTCTCCAAAGGCACATTACAGTTCAGCTTTCAGCTTTTTCTAATTGCTTGCAAAGCTGCTGACTTGTGGAAGCACATTAGGCGCCCGGCGCTGTAAAGCTGGTGATCTCTTACATAAAAATATTAGCCCCAATATTTTTGTGTGCGTGCTTTTCAGCATGTTGGCTTTTATGGCCTAGTTTAGACGCTCTGGTAAAACAAGAACCTTAATGGAACAGTTGGAAGCCCCTTTAAAAGGGGATCACAGCACTGCGTGTGCTCTGGGTGATGTTCAGCTTTGATTAACGGCTGTAATAAAGCTTGCATCTGTGGTGTTATTTTCCCAAGGAAATCCAGGAGGGAACACTGAATACAAGCCTGCTTTTGGTTTGTCTGGTCTATTTCCATCCCACTGTGCTTTTAGGTGGGTTGCGGGGGGGGTTTAACGAGGGCTGGTGTGGGAGATGGGCTGCCAGCAGGAGGATGAGAGGCAGGATGTGCTGAGCAGCCCAGCATTGATCCTCCCAACAGCAGCACTCCCTGCCCCTCTGTGCCACCTCCAAGGCTTCTCTGGTGGAGCTTCTGCTGCTCCTGGATGAGGACAGCAGTCTTGGTAAGGTGTGTGCTTGTCATCACCTCTCATCTTTCCCTCTTTCCCTTCTTCTCTCTGCTTTCTCTGCACTGTGCAGGACACTGTTTGTGTGACGAGGTGCTTGCAGCATCCCGTCCATCTTGCTGCCAGCTTTCCTGGGCTTTGCAGAAGGGCCAAAAATCAGTCGATGGTGTGAAAAATAAACCCAGGTTGTGATTTTGTGCTGTGCAGTGAGCCCTGATTCCCTGTTTCAGCAGGGTTCTCTGCAGAACCCCTCTCTGCAGGGGAGCAGACAGGGAAGGCTCTGTGCTGTGTTACTGCTGCAGCCCAGGGCTGCCTCACACACCTCATGATCTCTTCTCTGGAGCCATGGTGCAGGTTTAGTCTACGTTTCTGCCATCAGAAATAAACAGAAGAAGTTGCAGTTGTTGTACATGGTGGGATCTGAAGAAACTTTGGAAGCTTGTCCTTTTCCTGTTCTTGCTTGCTTTTGGCTCCCTGTGTCAGAGCACAGCTCTCACTCTCCCTCCTCCAAACCTATCCCCCTGCATCCTTCCACTGGTCAGGCTCCAGCTGGGCTGGAAGTGACATGTGCTTCTGATAAGAGTCAATGAGAACCATACAGACCTGCAGGCAGCAGTCTCCAGCTTAATTAAAGGTTATCAGATCTGTATGAATGCTCAAACGTTAACCACTTCAGTGCTGAATTCTTCAGACACTGGTCTCAAAGCTTGCCTTTTCCTGGGAGTTTTTGGGGCAGGTGGTCTGTAGCTATAGGAGTAGCCACCTTCCTTATGATTTAGCTGGGATTAGAACCTTTGTAAGCCATGCTGTCAGACAGCAGTAAGAGGTTTGCTTCACCTTTCCTTCTTGCAGCTCTGGAGGTAGTGCTGCGGGGCTGCCTCCAATGCTTGAACGTTTGCTTCTTGTGCAGGGATGTAGGAAAGCTGACACAGATTTAACACAGCCTGCAAGTCAAACTCTGCAAATGGGAAAAAATAAATAAGTAAATAAATGTAGGAGGTGAATCAGACAAAATATTGGATTTTGGACAAAAGTAATGATTCGGTGCATTTCCTCAGCACATTTGGAGTCCTCTCCTTGTTCACAGACTCTAGCAGAAGTTCCCTAGCTGCGTGAATCAAAGAGCCGTGCTCTTCTCCCCACCAGTGCTGCTGTTGGGTGTTTCTGACAACAGGATTCCTGATGAAGAAGCCTAAAATCCCCCTGGGCTGCTTCTTGATTCCATTTTGAAGGTACTGTGCTTTAGGGATAGGGGGGAAAGAGGTGTTTTAAGGCTTTAGCTCTGACTTGAAGAGCAGTTGAAGCAGACATGTGTAGAGTTTGATCTGTGGGCTGCATTACGACTTGCATTTGAGGAGTCTGAATATTACTGGGATTGGAGAGTCACAGCATATTCTGCATGGGTAAGTGGGGAGGTGGCTGGTTTCATTGCTCCTCACCAGTATCTGTGCTAGAAGCTGTCCTCGTTTCTTAAAAATCTCTTCCCAGGGAGCTAAGAATGTGAGGTTGAATGTATTTTGATTCTTGTGAACGTGTTTTGATTTGTTTTACCTGAGACGCACCAGTCTGTGTTCAGTGACCAGTAGCAGGGTTCTATCATTTAATCTCATTTTCAGTGCACAATTGGATGTTTTTATTGCCAAACTTCCGTCTTCCCTACTCGCCCACCCCACCCCGGAGCACACAGCCCCAATCACTGCTGTGACATTCTTTCTTTTTCAGGTGAACAATCAGAATAATGTTCAACATAAACCTGTTGGAGAACCTGAAGGTTTACATCAGCAGCCGGCCTCCGCTCGTGGTCTTTATGATCAGCGTAAGCGCTATGGCAATAGCTTTCCTGACACTGGGTTATTTCTTTAAGATCAAGGAGATCAAGTCACCAGAAATGACAGAGGTATGGTACAGGCACTGATTTGTAAAACATCCCCAACACTAACGAATTCTATTTTCCCCCCCCTCAGAAACCCTTCGATGGAAGTACACAGTCTTATGGGATATTGTCTTTGATATGCTCCCTGCTGATTTTAATAGGAAGGTGACATTGGTGTGAATGTTTGAATAGTTTATTTTAGTTTCTGGGTGAGGCCGAACCATCTGACGTGGATCTTCCTTAGAGTAACCAGGAGCCATTCTTTTCCTTAATCCCTTGTGTCAGCTAGCTTGTTTGTGAAACTTCTGATCTTATCTAGCACTGCTGTTCCATAATGAGGGGAGCCTTGTTGGAGTGTGCTCATACTTTGAGCTTGGTGAGAATGGACCGAACCAGTGCATTCTTTCTGGAGTTTAAAGGAGGATGTTCCTGCTGCTTAAGCCAAGCAGCAGTCAGGCAGTGGTTGGGACTGAACACCAAACACTCATAAACTACTTGCCTGTTGTTGAGATGGCCGTGCAGGTGTTTGTGTTCACTTCCTGAGCTGTGTAACTTGCATTGGGTGGCTTGGAACTGCAGCTCAGTGGTATGCAGCAAGGACTGTGCTGCTGCAGGAGGGGCAGCCTGTGGTTAGCTTGCTGATCTGTGCTAAATCTTTGCATTTGTTTTAAGGACTGGAATACTTTCCTCCTGAGATTTAATGATTTGGACTTCTGTATATCTGAGAACGAAACCCTGAAGCATCTCATCAATGACACCACAACTCCAGAAAGTACAGTCACCAGCGGGCAGGCGAGATCTTCCACGCAGTCCCCACAGACTCTTGAGGACTCTGGTCCCATCAACATCTCTGTTACAATCACTTTGACACTGGACCCACTCAGACCATTTGGCGGATATTCCCGCAACATCACACATCTAAGTTCCACCATTTTTGGACACCAGATTGGACTCTCAGGTATGCAAGACTTGGCTTTTATAAGTTTGAACGATACCCTAAACTCTCCAGTGTCATAAATAAGAATCGTTAAGGTTGAAAAGACCACTGAGATCATCTCTGCCAACCACTGATCACTTAGTCCAACCATCAGCTTTAGCTTTGATAATGTATCTTTAGCTTCAGAAATGTATGTTACCAGGTATGTTGTGAGTGCAGTCCTATGTGGAGCCCTTTTCTTTGCTAGAGAAACTTTTCCCTGCGTTCAGAATGGGAAAGAATCTTCAGATTTACCAGGATGAGGCTTTGCAGTGTGAAGCGACAAACTGAATGACAATGGAAGGTTATTTTTAAGCCAAAAAGCTCTAGGCAACAAAACCTTCAACAAGTGACCCTTGGGAGAGTTGTGTCTCGATACAACTTCAAGTGTTGGTCACATTTCAAAGGCATTAATGGTGTGTGCTCCAGCATATCTTCTAAGAAATACAGATCTAATATCTGAAGTGTGTACAGCATTTTAATATTGCAGACAGCAACAAATGCTTGAAATTTCTGTGGTGTGAAGACCTCTTACGTGGCTGTTCTGACAGTTTTGTTAGGAGATAACACTGTTAGTAATAGAACCTCAGTGAATGTAAGCTTTTAGCCCAGGTTTCATTTCATAATCATATCAGAAGGTGTCTTCAGCCCAAGAGATCTGGAAACAAACAGTAGTCATAGCTGTAAATCTGTGTTCTTGTATTGTGTGTTGTTTTGTTACTGCTTTATGAGCTATCAGATGCAAGTTCCGTTTCAAGTAGCCTGGATTTATTTTCCATATGAAGATGAACAAATCCACGTGGAGTACAGTGCTCAATCTGCAGTCCAGTATCTGCTAGCATCCTTTCAGAAATGTGAACTTCTGATAAAGCAAGTGTTCAACAAAATCTTAAGCGGGAGAAAGGCAATAAGTTATTTTACTTTCTAATACAATTATCTGAACGTGTATGGGTTCACTTACAAGTATTGAGGTTTTCATTTCTGAGAGGAGCCTGATGCCCTCACTTCTTCTGGGGACAGGAGATATTAGAGAGGCCAGCAGCTGTTGGCTTTTGTTGCTGTTCCCGGGTTGGTTTTGTTGGTTTGCTTTGCAGTTTCTTTGTTTGCAGGGGCTTTGTTTCGTTTTGTTTATTTGGTTTTATTTGGTTTTAAACATTCTCTTTGCTTTCTGCATTGTTAGTAGAGATGCCAAGTGACTTCAAAGGTATAGACTCAGGCTAAGGTTGCCTTCTTCATCAGTTGCACACTGTCCTATCCCTGTGGTTGTTGCTCAGATACTTCTATGATTGAAAACCAGCTTTCTTCCTCTCTTCTCTTTTCTCAAAGGCAGAGAATCCCACGAGGAGATAAACATTACGTTCACACTGCCGGCTGCCTGGAATTCAGACGACTGTGTTCTTCATGGTCACTGCGAGCAGGTTGTCTTCACAACCTGCATGACTGTGACAGCAGCCAGCAATGTATTCCCTGTCACAGTGTAAGTGGATTTTAAACACTTCATAGACTGGTTGCTGGGAGATTAACCTCTCGGCAGCTTCTTTGAGGCTGGCACATCCTGATGGATGATGTTGTGACTGTGCAAATGGTGTGCTTGCTTTCCTTCCCCCATTGATAGAACCCTGTCTTGAGTCTGGAGGGCTTTGCTGTCTTTCTGCAACGCTAGATTTTTCTGAGGGTGTTTTGACTCCAGGCACACCTGCCTTTCAGCATGCAACCTGTGATTTAAACTTCAGTAGGAACAACAGAATCAGTGAAATTTAAGATATCCTATAATGCAGTTTCACTGCCTGGTATGAGAGCTAAGGCTTGACTCGGAGGTTCTTATCCTCTTCCCTGCTGACAGATCAGCAGAAGCTGAATGTTGCTTTGCTGCCAAACCCACTAAGCACAGCCCTTTCATCACAACCATTTCTCTTTGTCTCCTCTGAACCCCTGACACTATGCACTGTACTCGGGAAGACCATCAGAGGGGTTCTCTTGACTGTACGAAGCCATATGAAAGCCAGTGTTTTTCTAATTAAGCTGTGGGGTGCTGGCTTACTGGCACAACATGCAGTTAAATCCTAATGTTAGGATAGTGATCATTTGGTGTTATATGCTCTCTTGGCTAATCCTTGGGTTTTTTTTTACTGTTTTGGAGATCCAGAATAAAATTGTATTTTATGCAGCTGCAAAGACTTAGGCATGACTCTGTCTTGTAACTCAGTCTTACTGAATGTAGAGAATGGCAATTAGCATGCTAATTATTTCTGTTTTTCTGCAGTCAGCCACCACATTGTGTCCCTGAAACATACAGCAATGCTACGCTTTGGTACAAGATCTTTACCACAGCAAGGGACTCTAATACCAAGTATGCACAGGATTATAACCCCTTCTGGTGTTACAAAGGAGCAATTGGAAAAGTGTATCATGCTTTAAATCCCAAACTAACTGTTATAGTTCCAGATGTAAGTGCCACATCATTTTTCTATCTTATGTTGAGGAAATGCTTAGCTGTAGTTTAAGTGAATACAATTCTGTTCATGTCCTAAAATAGTCAGATGTAGTGATGGCTTACTGTGTAGTGCAGGGGCTGAGACAGAGTTAGGTGTGCTTTACCTGTGGTGGGTGTGATGCTCTTTGTGTTATCTCCAAGGTCCTTGCAACTTGTAATAACCAGCTTTTATGTTTGGAAGTCATTTGGCAAAAAGCACTGCTGGTATATGGGAAGAGATCTCTAGCACAGATTTTTAACATGAGGAGCATTTTTGGCTCTTTATGTGCCACAGTCATTACAATGCCAGCCTTGTATAGGGGAGAAAGCTGATTCATGAAGTAATTTCTGTGCTGATTTGGTAATTATTGCTTTAATAGAAAGTGTCAACTACTGGTGCATTGTCAGTGAATGGTTTTAATTCCCCATGCAGGATGATCGCTCTCTAATAAACCTACATCTCATGCATACCAGTTACTTTCTTTTTGTGATGGTGATTACAATGTTCTGCTATGCAGTTATTAAAGGCAGACCAAGCAAACTGAGACAAAGCAATACAGAATTCTGCTCTGAAAAGGTGAGTTTGTGTAATAACAAAGTACTGACTCTGATAACATAAAGCCTCCTTTTGTATGTACTGCAGACTGGTTGCTCTTATCTCTTGAAATGTAGATTTAATTCCTTTTCAAAGAGACAGGAGTTTTTTCATCCTGGGCAGTAAGGAAGGGTGCTGCAAAATGCAGGTGTGTGCTGTGTAGATCCTCAGGTAGATTTCTCTCCTGCAGAGGTGGATTAGTGCAGTTCAGTGCCATAATACGACTGCCACTCCACTTCTGATGTTATTTTGTATGTAACATGGAATAGATAGCACTGAGTGGGTTTATCTTTCACCACAACTGACTGAAAATAAAATACAATTTTTGAATCAAATGTAAAAATACAATTTTTAGTGGCTGCTAATCAGAATTAAAGCAATCACAAAGGTAATGGAACAGTCGTTATTCAGTACTGCATTGGAGCTGCATGTTGCTTGCAGGATTAAATATGAATGTGTTTATTGTAAAGTAGGAAGTGAATGCTGGCTCCTTTTGATCTTAATGACGTTTTATAGTATAAGCAGTTTTGTTCTGTATTGTTTTTAAACAGATTATGCGGAGCACAAAACATTTTCAGACTTACTTTGATCCTTTCCAAGTTAGACTTTCAAGGTTCTTTGAAAAGCTGGAGGGCAGATATGCCAGCTGTGTGGAGATAAGCAATATCACTGTTACCAGATCAAGAATTTGACTTTAACAAAATGTTTTCTTTTTCTTCTGTTTAGGTTGCTTTGTCAGAAGCGTAATCCATCCTCTCATCTTACTGAGAATGACTGAGAACCGTAATCATTGCCTGCTGAACCCAGAATGGGTCTTGACACTCTGTGAATACATTATCTTGCAATGTTGGTTTATTCCAACCAAAGACATTTCAAGTGCCTGTAATTGACTTGTACATATTTATAAAGGTGTATTCAGAGTAGATGATGCACTTGTTCCGCATTGTAGTGCGGCCAGAAGCGTTCAGTCTTTACCTGTGGACATAGCTGAATGTTGGTGTAGATATGTTTAGTGATATGGCTACATATAGTCAGAGCAAGATATTTTTGTCTAGCTGCATCTGGGCAGGTTAAGATGCCTTTGCAAATGTCTCAAACCAACAAATCTTTGTTATTTGCCCAATGATATGTACAGTGTGTTTGAAACGGTATGCACCTTTGATATAATACTGCATTTCCAGAGCCACCAATCTACTACATGAGTTCAATGTGTGTTTGTGTGGCCTGATACCTTCTTCCATTTGCTCCTTGCTTGCGAGAAAAGATATCAACAGTTTTAGGTTTATTTTTGGGGGAAAAAAGAAATACATATACACGTTTTAATAGTGCTGTATTTAGGACAAACTTGTGCTTTTATTCATAGTAAAAACTTAAGAGGTGAAGTCCCATTTTAAAATCTTTCTTATTGAAAACTAAGTTTGATTCTTATTGTTATTTTTTTTTTCCATTTGGCCCGCTGAATGCCAGAGGGTCAGTCAGCACTGAGACTGCCTGGGAAGCTTTCTGCTTGGCCTCCCATCTGCAGCCCTCAACCCCGGAACGTGCATCCATGCTGCAGAGCAGCTCTCTGTCAGCCTTCTTTCTAGAAAGTGACACTTGGTAAAAAGATGCATTGTGCTGTCTGTGGGGGCTCTGCACAGCCTCAGGCAAGTGCAAATAATGAAAGGAAAAGAAATCCTGTCCTCTGTTACAAAGCCTCACTCTGGGGCTCTCCATCCATCTCTGAAGGGCAGCGGAAAGTGTCACTTTTATTAGCTTAGGCCAATCTCCATTTAATGCTGTCCACTCAGGGGAAGATGACAAGGAGGGAACCAGGGCTGTCGTAATCAAGGTCAAAGAAACCACACAGTAAAATTCATACTGTTCTCTGTGTCCATTCTTCAATCAGAGGAGCTTTATTATGTGTTTTTTTTTCTCTTTTCCATTCTGGCTTTTGCTGTTTATTTCCCTCCTGTTATTCAGTAACCTCATTAATTTTCAGGAGTTGTGGTTTTCCTGCAGACATTTCCACCACTGCTTTTAAAATCTCACTGGTTGCCTTAACTGACCTTCCATCTTCTCTGTGTAGCCTAGGTCTGCAAAAATACACTTAGGAGCTTTTTTCTCTCTCTTTTCCTTTGATAAACTTCACTCTACACAAAACAAGACGACTCAAGTCAAAATCTTACAGTCTCCATTGTGCTGGCATAAGATTCTTAGTTTATTATCAATAGACACTGTTGTGGATGGTACCCTGCTGGTCTGTGGGCCTGTATATATAGGACTTCAGCATTCAGTAAGTTTGCTTCAGATGCTCTGAAGAGCAGTCAAGGGCCACACTTTTTGATTAGAACATTTCCATTCCAGAATTCAGTTACTTAAGCAGTGGTAACTAATATATTTTTTTCTCCAGCGATGTTAAAGCAAAGCTCAAGAGATGGCCCACTTTGAAGTCTAGGGATAAAAGGAAGCTTCCAGTTTTCTCCTGATGCTGCTATGGGCTAATATTGTTTCATTGGCGTGGGTCAGCAAGGTAAAGCAGCTTCTCTTGGAAATTGTCTGGGCTGTTCCTGATCCATGCAAACCACCTTCTGCTTTAGTGCTGACTGTGTTGCCTGGGAGGGTGGCTTGGTGTGGGGACCAAAGGCAGGAAGAGGAAAGTGATTGGGGTGGTGCTGCAGGTTCTAGAAATACCTAGAGGACACTGATAGTGACTCCTTTAAAAAAAACAAACCCACCTCCTTCCAGCAAACTAAAAATCCACCTCCAGATGTCCCATTTACAAATTGATCTGTTGGGGGAAAACATATGGATGTATATTTATTTTTTTTTTAATTTGGTTTTGCTATTTGGTAATGAGAGGAGCCTGCTTTGTGGTTCATTACCCACTGTATGGAAATACAGAGAAATAGTTGAGATTGTGACCAATGGAAGCAAAAGGGAAAACGTTAAAGAGCTGTGTTTTTGGCCTTAGTTTTTCCCTTTGCCCCATTATTGCAGCAGGGAGGAAGGTGTCCATCAGGTTGGGTTGCTGCAATCCTGAGGAATATCAGATTGTTCCTAGGCATGATGTAAAACAAGTTAAATGCAGCCAAACAGAAAAATAAAAACTTAATATTAGAGTTCAGATCATATTGATCTTTCCTTTTTTTTTTTTTTTTTTTTTTTTTTGTTGTTTTCTTTTTCTTTTGAACTATGACTTGAATCAGTTTTGATTCTATTTGTATGTGTTTTCTTGTTCTTAGAAAGCTGCCATTTTCTTTTGCGTTTTTCTTTGGCATTACATAGAAAATCTGAGCCTTGGTTTTCAACCCTCTGCAGGTGGTTGTAGGGTTAAGATGGCTTTTTTGTTTTGTTCTTACATTTCACTTGTCTTGTTGCATGACAGTTCATAGCTGATTTGGAAATGACATTTCTCTCCTAGATTAATTTTGTGTTTGTATGATGATGTGCATATTGCTTTGCAGAATAAAAACAGTGAAGTTTACTCTGTTGTCTTTATTTCTCCCCTAGTTGCTATGGAGGTTTCAGAAACCATTTACATTACATTGACCCTTGGAAGAAATTGGTAGTGAAGTTGGTAATAGGTTGGAATTTCAAACGTTGCTGTACTCGCAGTGCATGTAGAATTGATGGAGGAGTTTTGTATGTATCGTGGGGCAGGGAATCTAATGCTATAGAGTTGCTATAATGGAGAATTTATGACCTTGTCTCTCCTGTTGCTTTTTTGGGGCTCTGCTTGTCTTTTTGTCCCTCTTATCAGGGACATAAGGCTCGCCTTATTGATACAATGCAGGTCTCTGTGCTGAACACATAGGTGGAGCAAATGCTGTTTGTCCTTCGTGTTGGCAACGTTCTTTAGGTTTAGCAGCAGAATGCTCAGTGTGTTGATTTCTCACTGCAGCAAGGTCCTCTGAAAGGAACACAAGAGAAATGAACCCTTGTTTGCTCTGGTCTCAGCTTCCTGCTGGCCTTGGTGGTTATCAGGCCCTCCTTCCCAGCCTCCTTGCTGCAGGTGCTGTGTTACTCAGCTGAACCCAAACCAGTTCCTGAGCATTCCTCAGTGCCTGCAGGTGGCTTGGGATCGTTAAAGGGCATCTGTGGATGGCTGTTGAAATCAAGATAATAGAACTCGTTAAATTCCAGCTCCAGTTACTGCACAGCTGGAACAGGCTGCACCTGTTTGTTTTCAGTGCTGGAGAAAAGGAGAGAAAGACTTGGGGCTGTCCTTCAAAGCTTGTTACAAGCTGGGCACCGTGTGCTCAACAGACACAAGGCCAGCCTGTGTTGCTTTTCTGGAGGATGTGGTTCAAAGCATTCATGCAGTGTTCTGACTCTGGGTGTTTCCAGATGGGGCCTATTGAAATCCTGTGACAAATGGGAGCATTGTTTAAAAGCGGAGCTGTAAAGTTGTTGCAGAGTTTTTGCTGGGGAAAGAAACTCTGAGAATTAACAGGGGAGGGAAAAAGTGAATTTAAGAGAATGGCTGTGACAAATCCCTTTGGTCTGGCTGTAGGAAGTCTGACTAGTTCTGAAATATCTGTCCAGAGTTAGCACAAACGCCCTGTGCCAGCATGGTCTCTGAGTTCATCCATCACTATGAGTTAGCAGAGCAATCCTCTTGGCCTCTGCTGCGCTCAGTCTGTCAGCAGTGAGGAAGAGAGACACTAGCACACGTCTGTGCTTGTTTTCCTGTTAAACAAACCCTCCCTCCTAACACACACAGCCTCTGGTTGGGAAATGCACACGTATGTTCAGCAAGCTCTGTAGACGTGTAACTTCCTTGAAGAAAATCCTGTTTCTAGAGCTATTACTGCATAGCATTACGTGTGAGTAAAAGCAAGGAGGATCAGCTGTGAATTCCCATTGGGGAAAACAATAAATGAAACCAGCCGAGGTCAGGCTGATGGGGCTGTGAGCTGTGAGTGTCCCTGTGCACTGCAGGCGGTGGGACCAGATGGCCTTTGGGGGTCCCTTCCAACTCCAACCGTTCCATGATTAAATCCTTCGTCTTTTTTCTAGAGCAAAGGCTGTCAGGGGTACTTGACAAACCTCCTACATAGGGAGAGTCTTGCTGTCATACAGTGCCAAAGCATTAAGCTGAGTTCTTTCAGGGCCCTCTCCTGGCTCCTCATAGCATGAGCAGCCCGAGGGATGTTTTATGCTGGTGGTGCAACAGAAGAAAACCTGGCTGCTGGGCTAATGTGCAACAGGACGTTTCCCAAAGCTGGAAGGGTGGGGTGAGCAGAAGGGATTCATTTGATAACGCTGTAATCGGGCTGTTTACTTCGTAACAGCAATGTTGGTTAACAAACTAAAATGAAAAATTATGTAAAGGTTGTTCAGCTGGAAAAAATGCATGCACAGTGTTTGCAATCAGATTACATCCAACGTTAGCGGGATTGGGCTGAGAAGCACCATCTGCCAGCAGCCATGGCAGTTCTTTAATCAGATGTTTTGTGCCAAATATTTTGGTATTATGTGGAAGCATTGCTGAAAATGAAGAGCAGCATCTGTCTTGATGCAGCGCCTTCGTCCTGCAAGCAGATTTCTGTCGCTGCCTTTTTGAAAGAGAAGGGTTTCAAGGAAATGTTGTGCTAGGAGATAACGTGAATAAGTATGCTGGCAGCTGCTGAAACGTAGATTGCAAGCTTTTCTCTGCCATCCAGCCTTAATCAAAATGCTGCTAGTGATGAACTGCTTGGGAGAGATCTGTAGCAAGAAGCAGAAAGCCACACAGATGTGTTAAACCCTTTTGGGCCTGTCTGCCTTTAACCATTCATCTCAATGACTTCAAAACTTGATATTTGAGCTCACCATCGTCCTCCTGGAAGATCCCTCAGGATTTGTGTGGACAAAGGTTTCTTTGTGGCCCTTGCTCACTTGAGCAGTTTCTCTGTGAGCCTTTGCCAACTGCTCAGATGTGGGGCACTGACCTTGAGGTGCCCATTAGTGCTGTGTTGAAAAAAAGTTCAGCTAAATAAATGGCAGAAATGCTAAGAACCAGGGTGCAGAGTTGCTGGATTTGGATCTTTGTTCAGCACTGATGCAGGCAGTGTTCCTGCCCATCAGCACTCTTGATTCCTAGCTCTGCCTTGCTGCTAGGTGACTTGGGCAACTTGCTTTGTGTTTCTGTGTCTCAGTTTTCTCCTTTATAAAGGGCTTTTGAAGTGCTGTGACCTTGGTGGAGGTTTCCTAACCTGAGGGCTTCCCAGCAGAATCAATATTCCCCTTTCATCCTTTGAAGATGTCTTTTTATAGCATGCTAAAACTCGAGGACCTGAGCATAGACTTCCTTGCATTATCTCTATCATTTGCTCCTTGCACTGTGATTTGTGCATCTTAAGTAACAAGTAACGATGTAAGATGTCAAATCCATGGACCTTTTGTAGACATTACGAAGGTATTTCCCAATACACTGCACTGATTGGCGAAGATCACCTGACCTCCAACGTAGAACAAAAGGGGCTTTGCAGTGAGGAGGCTGGCAGTGTCCTTTCTATGCTCTGCACAAACCAAGCCATGGAGATGCTCAGTCTGCTCCCACTGTGCAACCACATCTGGAGAAGAAGGAGAAAGCCTTAAAGCAGTTCAGGCAAGGTGACAGAGTGCAAAATGTTGATAAACCCATGAGATTCTTTTTCCCTATTGACCCTTGAGCCCCATATAAACAAAATTACAACCTGGCTGGCCTAAATGGGTAAGGAGAGTAATTTTGTGACCTACAGAGAGAGATGTGGCCGCTTGGAGCTCATCCACAGCGCTCAACACCAACAGGAGGATTTTTGTCCTAGAGCTGAATTCTGGTTTCTTCTGTTGCCTTTTGCTGAGCAGCTGAGGCCGGGTTGCTGACTGGTCCCAGGGGGTGGGTTGTGTTGTGTGCCACAGGAGCTGCTGATCGCCTCTGATTGCAGCTCAGCTGCCTGGGGAGAGGTGATGATTGTGCTGCGGGCACATGAGGTTTTAACAGGGGGGGAGAGGCAGTTCAGGCACTAAGTTGGTGTGGGTGCAGTGTAAGAAGTGCTTGGGAAAGGAGCTCGAGCTGCTGGATTCCTCCCAGGTAAGTCTCAGTAAGCGGTGGTTGTGGTGTGCTGGGCAGTGGGCATATCCTCGTTTGGATGTTTGTATGGAGTGGCAAACATGGATCCCAAAAGTGCTTCGGGAGGAGGCTTTTGTAGGCTGAGAGCTCGGCTTAAAGCAGCCAGGACTGGCTGAGCACTTGACTTTGAGCCTGAAAGCTTGTTTGTGTTGGTTAAGCCTTGGGGAAGGAGGGAGCAGCTTGGAAGGGATGCTTTGCGAGGCGATCCCTAGCGAGACCGGGCTCAGCGGGCAAAAACCTAGCAATGGGGAAAATGAGTTTAGTTTAGGTGTCCGTAGCTTCTGCAAGGAGCTTTTTTAGAGCTCGCAGGGCCGCGGGACGAACTGCGAACCTCCCGAGGGGACGCGTTCAGCTCCGACCCTGCACTGCCCGCCCGGCGCCACCAGGGGGCGACAGAGCCCGGCATGGAGCCGCGGGGCCCGGCCTGGCTGCGGGGCGACCCGGGGGAGGGGCGAAGCGAGCCGCGGTGCGGGCTGTGCTGCATCGAAAGGCGATGTTTGCGGCTGTTCCCAGGTTTCTGGAGAACCTCGGGTGATCCCATCTTTCCCCCTGGATGCCTGCGTGTTCTCGTTTCACACAAAGCCTTCCTGACCCCAAAGGGATGCTGGAGCATCCCTGGAGCTGGTGCTGGCAAACAAGCGTGGGGTCAACCACGTTCAGAACTGATACAGGAGGAGGGAGGTGCTGTTTCCAGGAAGATGACTCAATCGTTTGCTAGCAGCAAGTTAATGCCTCTTGACCAAGACCTGGCTCCTGTGCCTATCTTCCCTGAAAGCAACAGGAGTTAGGTACCTAATTTAATTTATTTGTTTGAGGATTTGAGTTTTTCCTCATCTCCTCTTAGATGTAAAGTCAGATCTCTGTGTTTTCTTGGCTGTAGTGCATCAGGGAAATCTCCTTTCTCCCCCTGCTTTGCATCTTGCTTGAACACACATACATACACCTCCTGCTGGCTGTTGGAGAACAGCAAAGCAAGTGAGGCAAACCCTGGCACAACGTGCAGTCCTTTGGGAGCACAGCCGGTTTGAAATTATTTATGCTGTTTTATTGTGCATGAACAAAGTGGTTTGTAGGAACACAGGAAGCTTTCATCACTGGAGATGTCCCAGCAGTGCCCGTGGCCGTGTGCTCATACAAGGTGTTGGAGCTGTCTGTGTGGTTAATGTCTCATTGGCTTCTTCTGAAGGGACACAGATGGGATCTGTTTGAAGCAGAAAAGCTCTGCCCACGAAGTGGCTGCCCAGATACGATTGTGAATGCCTGGAGCAAACAAGTGACCGCAGTGCAGTGCAAAGCCCTGGCACGAGAAGTGGCCATCATCATCTCCAATCCTGGGTGCAGCTGGAGGCCAGCAGGGACCTTGCTGTTGATTAGAGCAGACAGAAAAC